TATCTCGTCGTTGATGCCGTGCTCAACTGGTACTTCATCCACAAAGTGAAGACGAGGCTGATCAAGCATGGCGGCGTGAGTGGTTCAGCCCTGTGCATCACCCATCCCCTCACTGAGCATGATATATATACAGCTCAAGAAGTACCGTCGCCTGGTGGCTTACAACACAAATATTATTTGGGTTTCGCTGGCCATGGATGTCCTGATCATAGGTATGATGTCTTATCCAAACGAGATGGTGTACACCCTATTCGTACGTCTTCTCCGCAGCCCGCGCTGACTGCTCGACGCTCAACCCACGCGTAGCACCCCGTAGCATACCTTGTGAAGCTTAACATTGAGATGGCCATGTCGCACCTCATTATCAAGGTCGCACGCGAAACGGGCATCATTGTGCATGAGGACAGCACGGCGCATGCCGACTCGACGGCCGTCCGCGGAACCGGCACGATGCAGGTATCGGTTCAAGTCACGCGGACACAGCACCAGGAGGACATTGAGCTCGCCGAGCAGAGCCAGGATGTCTGGTCGCCGCAGAAGAATTCCGTGCCATACGACGGCTCGACCAAGTCCACAGTCGAGTTTAGCCCGGAGACGAAGGATCGTTTGGATGTTTAGAGCGATATAACTCGTAGTGGTTGTAGAATCAATTGCAGAGGGCGTGCACATTCGGGGTGCTCCTGGTCCCATACCTACTTCAATTGCGGTGGATTTCTTTCCAAACCTAGATAATAATCCACGTTGATGAGATTCGTGCGCACTGAACGATAACTCATCGATTGCATTGAAGTAGCTATGCCACAGACTATTACTTGTGACTTGTGTATACAGTATGAACGGCTCTAGACAAAACACGAAGACACTCTATGACGAAAGACGCTGAGTGGACTGCGTGCGCTCGCGCAGGGGTAGGAATGTGACTACGGCATGGCGCGTCGTCGGACTTCGGACGTAACGCGCGCCTCGTTCTCCGCTCATCATGTCATCTAAACGCGAAAAACCTAAGGAGAAGCCGTTCCACTCGCTTTTCGCTGGCGCTACGGCAGGCGCGATTGAGGCGTACGCGCATCCTTAGTTGCATCATTGTGTCGTGTGTTAAACTCCTGTGTCCAGTTTCGTGACGTACCCGACCGAGTTTGTCAAGACCCGTAGCCAGTTCAGCGGTAGCGGCGGAATAGTAAGCATATATATAAAGTGAGTATGCTGTGTGCTTATCCAATTCTGCAGAAAGAGAGCCCGATCCAGATTATCACTTCGACTGTACGCCAGAAAGGCATCACCGGCCTGTATAGTGGCTGCAGCGCGCTGGTCGTGGGCAATGCCACCAAGGCTGGCGTACGTTTTGTCTCATACGACTACTTCAAAGGCCTCCTCGGAGATGCGGACGTGAGTTGGACTTGGTGTCGCTGAACAGTTTGACATTCTAAAATTCGAACAGGGCAAAGTATCAGCGAGTAGAAGCTTGGTTGGTCAGTAGCAACATATTCCGATCGGTCCTTCTTACTGACTCCCTTGCAGCGGGCATGGCTGCAGGTTTGACAGAAGCAGTAGTTGCTGTAACGCCTTCTGAGACGATCAAGTGTGTGATAAGATTAACCATTCCAACTCTGACGACGCCTCACGCGCTCAGAACCAAACTCATTGACGACGCTAAGCGCCCTCAGCCTCGCTTCAATGGGCTAGTCCACGGCACAAGAATAATCATCGCGGAAGAGGGTTTGAGAGGTGCGTACAATTTGATCGCATTCCTTATCTCTTCGCTGATGCTCAAACAATGTAAACAGGCATCTATCGCGGGCTGGGGCCAGTTGTGCGTCTACGCTATGACATGGCTTCATCGCTTTGTTCATCCTTGCTCATACTTTGCGCAGATGATGCGTCAGGGCGCCAACTCGGCCATACGGTTCACGACGTACTCCATGCTCAAGCAGTTTGTACAGAGCAACACACGCTCGGGCACGACACTTCCAAGCGGTATCACCTTCGGCATTGGTGCCATCGCTGGCTTAGTAACAGTGTACACGACAATGCCGCTCGACGTGATCAAGACGCGCATGCAGAGCCTTGACGCCCGAGGGCAGTATCGCAACGCGTTCCACTGCGCGTATCGCATATTCACGGAGGAGGGTGTTCTGAGGTTCTGGGCAGGTACGACGCCAAGGTTGGCGAGGCTGGTGGTGCGTTCTCTAGTATTTGCTCGAAGATCCTGAACTTACATCTCTCTAGTTGAGCGGCGGGATTGTCTTCACTACCTACGAGAAGATAATGCAGCTGATTGGTGGACGAGCCATCTGAATTCATCACAATCTAGCGGCTCAGTAGACGTGTAAGGAGTCACAGCGTTGCTCATCGCTCGTGTGTTACCGTTTCACATGTCCTCCTTGCAGGCTCAGCATGTTCTCAAATGATCCTATCATGCTACGTATGGGATCCCAAGAGGTTTGAGGCATTTGCTCACGGGCTTCCGCGTAACTGCACAAGAATACGTTAAGTAGGTAATCAAATAATTTCGGGCGTGTGTTTTTCTCCCCACATCTTGTGTCGCTGTTGTGACCCCAAGTGTCTCCTCGCGATCACTGGCCTATTTAACCCCGCAGACAATGTCGTGGCATGTCACCTATTCAACCTCACGGACTTCCAGTCCAGTACTGCCCATGCAGCCACTTTGTATCGCAGCGAAACCAATGCGGCTTTGAATAGATGTGATGCTCGTGACGGCCCTTGTTGCTCCTTGACTCTGCACCCCTTTACGCCTGCGCAGCGATACCCCACGCCCTATAACGGCTGCAGCCATGGTAACACCAATCAGACGAACTAAGAGCAGCATCTACTTCGACTCTGCGATTTTACAAGACCCTCCAATCAATCCTAGCACTTGCCCGGCCCTGAAGGGAGCACGGGCGGTCAATTGCGTTTCGGAACTCTTGCATCAGACGGCCGGAGGGGCGCTCGCTTTTTGCGCCGTGTCAGTGCTCCGAGAACGACCTGGCTCATAGTCTTAGCTCTACTGTTACCATCGCCGTGAGCCCTGCGCTCCCTGTTTGGTCATCATCATCATCCTAAGCATTTATTGTTGTCCAGGTCTTTCGATCAATGCACCGATTTCCTACAAGTCTAAACACCGGAACGAACGTTTTGCAAGAAGACCATCTTTTTATTACAGTCAGGCTAAGGTATATAGGACTCACTTCCCTTGAGATGATGGGGTGCATAGACATCAGCAGTAGCCGTGCCTGCTTCTTCGGACCGCTTCAGGCGCATAGAAAATCAAGTGAGCAAGCTTGACCGCATCACATACCTGACCGACATCCGGCGCCGCCGGGGCGAGTTGATTCCTGCAGAAAGCCCGGCGCAAAGGATCGCAAATGACGATGCAAGAACCGCGCATTCTGCAAGACTGCTACGTCGGGACCAACTGACTGGTCAAGTCAATTGATCATGTACTGTTGCCTGCGAAATCTACGAGCATACTGGAATGGCCAACTTGGACCAAGTGCGGGACCGGGAACACTCAATGTTGCATGAGCTTAATTGCTGTGAAACAGCTCTTGACCGGCCACTGACGTATTGCCCGGCGGTGGACATCTCATTGCTGTCTCCATGCAGCGCACCTTGTTCTTCACTATTCTCAGCATCTTCACCGCAAGTACCGGCGTGGCCGTCATGCCCGTCGCGGTGAGTATGAAGCCCGTAATCCTGAAACTGACAAGTGTCTCAGAATGAGACTTCGTTCATTTGAAACAAGAAGTTTCTCGAGTGGCTGAGCACCACTGACTCCGAGTTGACCTTTATCGGCCAGCAAATCGATGTCGACCTCGCAAAGCACCAACAGTCGGTCCGGGTGGTCTACTACTCATTCCGCCAGAACACCGTGTGGAGCTGTCCCCACACCGCGTACAACGGCGGGCCCTCCTGCATCAACGCACCAACTGTCTGCGTGCTACTGCCAACGTCGCTTTCGACGGGAGGGAAGGAAGATAATCATCATGATAAACCAACCATCTATCCTCCAATGAGTCTATCATTTGCAAAACCCAAAACAGTAGCCGTGCTCAATCATCACACAGCTTCTGAGCTAGGAGAGATGATTGCACTTCACAACTGTCGGCAAGATCGACGGGGATAGATAGTGTCAATCTTGTAAGAAAGTGTCCAGGGTTCTGTGAAAGAACGGCCAGAGCTGGCCTTACGCCTTGGTCGCCTTGAAAGGGATGCTGAATGTACGCAACTCCGGGATGTTCGCCTATCAGCATAAAAGTTGTCAGCACTGTCAGCTCCAAAGATCTCATTGCACGACGCACCGGCGTGTACTCATTCAAGTTTGCGGTAAGCACGACGGCGACAAGATAATAGTCGCCGCTGCTCTTGAACGCGTCCGCGTGCAGTGGCACCTGGAACGTGCGGTTCTGGCCTAGGTAATCTGCATCCTCCGCGACAAGATTGATTGTGGTGCCAGGTAGTGGTGTGCCCATTGATGTGTTCTTCGACGCGGCGATCTCATTCGGCGTGGCGAGCCCGAAGTAGACGATCAGGTCATGGCTGAAGGATCCTGTGTGAGTACTACAGGGAAACGAAGTAATGAAAAGAACGTGCTAGGTTGCGCCAGGTGCGTGGCCCGCTGTGAAGGTGACAGGAAACGTCGAATCAGCGGTGGCCGTGTAGGTGCCACTGTATGGTGCGACGGTGTCAATGAACGCGCTTGCGAAGGGCAGAATGGTGGCGGCAATGACGAGGGTGCGAAGGGAAAACATTATCGACGAAGTGAATGTGGTGCGAGGGAAGGCAGGTACTAACGACAACGCTGACACTGCAACGACCATTTTGTACACCAGTCTGAAGCTCCGCGAATGTTTCAAGTTTACCTTAGCCAGCCGCAGCAGCGGCCGCCGAGCCGGCACAGCTGCACGTGCTGGGCTGCGCAGAGCGCGGCATCAGCGAATTCGGAGCCCCGATCATTGGGCATGCTTACACAAGTTTTTGTGGCAGACCTTGTTAAAAGTTGACCAAGCCGGGAGTCGAACCCAGGTCTCCTCTAATCCGGTGAGGTGTGCTAACCACTGCACTACCCAGTCTATTCAGAGCTGTTGGTTCCCATCCAACACTCCCCCTGAAGCCAACAAGCTCTTAATACTCATTGCTCTTTGGGAACTCCACTGCCACTTGTCAACCCAGGCACTGCCGCACGCATTCCCAGCGCCGGGGCTCATAACCTGTTAAAAGTTGACCAAGCCGGGAGTCGAACCCAGGTCTCCTCTAATCCGGTGAGGTGTGCTAACCACTGCACTACCCAGTCTATTCAGAGCTGTTGGTTCCCATCCAACAGACCTTTGGTGTTGGCTACAGCACAACGACATTTTCCAAAAGAAAACCGACGGACCTTCACACGTCACGTGATACCGTGGATTATTAGTATCACTGTCTCAGCCATGCTCTTGACTAACCAGGCTAGATGACACTCAGACCTCGTCTGACATTAACCCTGTTACCAGCGTCTGCCACAATGCCAATCCTGAAGTTCGCGATGAGGTCAACATGTACTCGATGCCCAAGCAAGATGGATTTTGGTGATAGTTCACCGCCGTGGAGCTTATAACTTGACATTTTCGACTTCGTGGGTGGCGGCGATCAGTGCAAGCTAGTATGCCCACGCCCCTGCAATCAGAGTGAGTCCAATGGCTTATAGCAAATAAATTAGAGTCTGGATAGAGCACAGGCCGCTCACGCTGGTCGCGGCCTATGGATGCCCGCCACGGATATTAACAAGTAACAAACCGGCTCCGTTCTGTCCACGCTTGAGCGACGCTTCGTCGAGCGCACTGCTTGCGCAACGCGGCTTTGGGTATAACCGCTCCTGATCGCTCCTTTATGCTCAACGCCCGGATTTGTTCGGCGTGACCGATGCGTTTCCATTATCTGGGCTTGATTGCATACCGGCGTGTGCTGCGTACAACTAGTACTACAGATATGCTTAAAATGACGGCATATGCTATCCCATTCGCTGATGCTGCGCTCTGCGCAGCCCAGCATGTGCGGCTGTGACCGCTCGGCGGCCGCTGCTGCATTTGGCAAAGGTAACACCTACGCCAAGCTTCCAATTGATAAAATGGTCGTTGCAGTGTCACCGTTATCGTCAGTACCCGCCTTCCCTCGCACCACATTCACTTCGTCGATAATGTTCTCCCTCCGCACCCTCGTCATTGCCGCCACCATGCTGCCCTTCGCAAGCGCGTTCATTGACAGCGTCGGGCCGTATAGTGGCACCTACACGGCCACCGTCGATTCGACGTTTCCTGTCACCTTCATAGCGGGCCACGCACCTGGCGCAACCTAGCACGTTCTTTTCATTGATTCATTCTCACCGTAGCACTCACACAGGATCCTGCAGCCAGGATCTAATCGTCTACTTCGGGCTCGCCACGCCAGACGAGATGACCGCGTCGAAAAACAAATCGATGGGCACCCCGGTACCTGGTGCCACGATTGATCTCGTCGCAGAGAAGGCGGATGGCCTGGGTGAGGATCGCACGTTCCAGGTACCACTGCACGCAGACGCGTTCAAGGGCAGCGCCGAATCGGACTACTATCTTGTCGCCGTCGTGCTTACCGCCAACTTGAACGAGAACACGCCGGTGTGTTGTGCAATGAGATCTTTGGAGGCGGCAGTGCTGACAACTTTTATGCTGATAGGCGAATATCCCGGAGTTGCGCACATTCCGCATTCCTTTCACAGGCAGCGCACCTCGTTCTTCGGCTGACAGCGCATCTGTTTCTTCGGCTAGCAGCGCATCTCTTGCTTCGGCTAACAGCACACCTCTTTCTTCGCCATCTTCAGCGTCTTCATCGCAAGCACCGGCGTGGCTGCCATTCCCATGGCGGTGAGTATGGCTGTGTGATGCCAGTAATCCTGACTGAAAATTATCTCAGAATTGCGCTCGTTATGTTTTATTTCTTTGTTATTTAAACATCTGTGCGATACCTGCGAAGCGAGAGTGGTAATATACCGAATTGGGGCCGAAGGGTGTATGAGAGAACGGCTGGAACGACGGCAGCGCGCGTGACATCGGTATAGCAATCCGGACGGATTGCCATATATCGGGCTGTCAGCGCTTCAGATATCCGATAGAATTCTAACATTACTCTGGAGAAGTTGACTTTCGACTTAGGTGCTTTGACTCGGTGCTTTAGAACGTCAGAAAGGGGGATGCGATACGTGCTCTCACGATCGGGTGAGTGCTAGAGTTCTCTACAGCAACCTGAGAAAACCTTATTCTCGGCAACGAATATTCTTTATAGTAGATCACAACGGTCATGCTGGTACGCCTGTCAACTTCTACTACATCGTCGGCCAGGTCTCAGTTGACGGCACAGTCACTGCCTTGTATCTCCCTTGCAACTCGGTTGTATCTCTGGTATGAATCGTCCAAAATGTTGTGGTCTCTCAGGGCGCAACGACTCCGTCCTATGGGAGACCTCTTTTGCCAAAGGACAGACCTGGATTATTCACGAATGGGCTCCTTAGGTAACAGTATGATAGGGCAGCATTGACGATGATGTCGCACATCGTACGTCCGGCTGTAAATTACTGATTCCGGTTTCTTCTTCTAAGTAAAATATGGGTCATGGTCCATTTCCCACTTGTTACGTAGCGCAGCTGACTTCGGCGTATTGGTCTAGGTTTAGTATCTTTTTTATCCGAGAGCTCAAACTGACGGTGCCCGGTTATTGGCCCAAATACAAACCTGAAGCAACTCAGATATGTCGATCACTGCGTCTGCTACAATCATTGTCTGAAGTCCTCTTGGGCAGAAACTCAATGCAGTAAGCAGTTCTTGTTTCATCACGCGTTGAGCATTATTGCAAATGCCAATTCGCAAGCAATGGCTGCTATCTTACCACCTGGACCATTCACGATTCCGACCTGGTTCCTTTGGGAACATGAGCTCGTAATCAGACGGGTTGGACTAGGCCACGTGGTGCGACACGTAATGTCGCGGCCGTGGGCGCTGAAGATGGACAGGGACTTGTCGAGTCGGGTTTACTCCGATGCATGCGTCTCAGTAAAACCGAGATATTAGACTCAGACTCACGATCGAACCGCAAATCCTGGCGATCTCTTCATTTCCTCCGCGCGTTAACGAAGCTGTCGAACTCTTGTGGCTGTCAACGTCACCGCGTCAATGGTCGATGACCGGCCCCGGAAACACCGCTATTACGATTTTCCTGACCCTGTTCTTATTACTGAGACGCAAGATAGCCAGAATCAGACGCGCATTCGAGCCGTGTCTCAGTCACGCTTTCAATTCACAGAACTCAAAAAGGCAATAACGAAACTACATGGGTCTCACGCGAGAGCTACCTACAGATCCTATCGAGCAAGCGTCGGTCGTGATCTGCTGTCCGACTTGCTCCTGCTCCACAAGTTTGCCGAGAGTACCCCGCATATTCCCGCAAAAGTTGGTTCAAGATTTGGCGTGCCTTCGCAAAGACTGATTATCAAACAAACTTCTGAATTGAGATTAGTAGATGTAACACGGAACATCTGTGTGCCGAAGCAATCGATCACCCTGAAGCTCACTGCTCTCTCGCCATGCCCTCTCAGGCTCCACGACTGCTTCACGGCATAATCTCACGGTATCCTAGGTCTCGTGCCAAAACATGGCGTCCATATAATACCGGCATTCAACGCCGAAATAACGGTCACATCCCGATCTCCCCTCCTCTCCCCCGACTCGCCCATACCCAATGCCGTATCCACCGCAGCCGGGAATGTATTTCCAGACAGAGTATCCGTGGCAGAATCCCGTCGTCAGCACTAGCGACCGCAACAGTGCGCTTCACTCGGCTTGCTCGCCTTATTCGTCGCTAAGGACGTGTTTTCAGTCGCATCCATTGCGTTTGGTTGGACGTTGGGGTTTGGCTTTTTTGTCTTTCTTCGGGTTTTTCGCGAGTCGCGGCGAGTGGGGAGGATAAATACCTATGTTCTCATGATCTGGATCGAGCTTGTTGCGTGGGTTATTAGACTTTCGGTAGGTATGCCTACTAAACTTTTTTATAGGTCACTCACAGTGGCGTTCATATGCTACCTCTTGGTGCAAGAGATTGCTAGGCCTACCTTTCTTGTCCTCTTTTTTATTCTCTTGCAAGTCCGACTTCACCGCTCGGATATCATGTTTCTGACCTTGAGATATCCAGTTTGTGGGGTTTCCAAACCCAAATGCTCCTACAGATCATTATCAACCGCGTCTGCATTTTGCTCGACAACACACACCATCGCGTGCGTGATGATTTTATTGACGTCTCGAGGCTGACATCATGGGTTGTTTTTAGCTTGTCATGAAGTGGAGTGTGGCAGGGGTTTGGACCTTGGCTATCGTTGGCACATATTGCATCTGGCTACCCGCAAAATTGCAGGTGCGTGCTACTCTATGCTCGGTCTTCTGTCGTCCTAGCTAATGACATGCGTAGATTGACCACCGGTGCGCAAAGTATAAGCCTCGTCAAGCGTTGATCTTCTAACCGAGACCAAGATACATTGAACTCAACACATACTGGGATCGATTTGAGGTAAGTGTGAAGTCCTGCCTGAGATGCTTCGTGGCTCACACGTCCCCTAGAAATGTCTTTATCTCGTCTTGGACGCCGGCCTCAACTGGTTTTTCATCCGCAAAGTTAAGACGCGATTGGTTCAGCACGGTGGTGTAAGTTAAGCAGGTTTTCTAGCGTGAGAGTCACCTGATGTCTCGTCTTTTGTAGTTCAAGAAGTACCAACGGCTGGTCACATTCAACACGCGCATCATCTGGGTCTCTATTGCTACGGACTTTATGATTATCGGCATGATGTCCTATCCGAACGAATTGGTCTACACAGTCATGGTTCGTCCGTCCCATTGCCCCAATCTGCACCGAGAAATCAACTCATTTCGTTCAGCACCCCGTTGCATATCTCGTGAAGCTCAACATTGAGATGGCCATGTCACACTTAATCATCAAAGTCGCGCGCGAGACAGGCATCATTCATGACGAAGACAATACCAGGCATGCCGAGTCGACGACGATCCCGACCCGCAGAGCC